TACTACTACTGGAACTTAGGGTTCACCCAATAACATATACTTGTGTAAACATATATATCAATTTGAGCTTACGCAATTGTTTTGAATATTGGAATGAACCTCTTTGGTATTGACGCAAATACATTTACATCATGCTTTTTGATATTAGAATCAGTGTCTACTTAGCTGATGCACTTGTTTTTTTATTTGCGTCGATTTTCCTCCTATTTGCATCATATTTTCTCACGCAAATCGGGTTGCATTATATGAGCGGTAACTCGTGTGAAGAATCAGGGGTCGTGCGGAAGTTACTGGGCGTTTGAGACTGTGGCGGCAGTGGAAGGAAACTTGACAGAGCTATCGGAACAATAGCTAATCGATTGTGATACCACGTACAACAACGGGTGCAATGGAGGTCTGATGGGTTATGCATTTCCCTTCATTGTTTCCAATGGTGGGCAGACTGGGTGGGCTTCACAATGCGGAAGACTACCTATATATCATGGAGGAAGGAACTTGTTCGATGAGAAAGGTATACATACACAAAGTCCAACCCACAATTGTTTTGAGCTTAGGCCCATATGTGATATGCCTGTTTTGATTTTTTTTTTTTTTCTTGAACATGAAAAATTATAGGAAAATGAAATTTTTTTTAAGGAATTGGTAGGAGTCAAATTTTAAACCAATTGAATCCGAGCACTAAGTTATGGGAACGAATTATTCGGCTCAAAGGCCCGGTTCCCTATTTTGATTTTCTTTGTTCTATTTTTTATTTAGTATATGAATATGAGACGTTGACCATAAGTGGGTATAGAGATGTGCTTGCGAATAATGAAGAGAGATTGTTTTTTTTTTTTTGAAAAGCAAAAGTAATATTTATTGATACGGAGTACAAGGGGTACCCCCAAACCCGTAAACATCTCAGTTTGAAAGGCCAAGAGTTACATAGTCAATTAGCCCTTCCGTTCGACGTCGACACCTATATTGTGTGTCGACACCATGTCCCTGTCGGCGATTTGGGCTCAGTTCTTCCGTTTGGTGTCGACACCGTAATAAAGTGTCGGTGTCGACACCACGACCATGTCGGATTTCACAGTGCTCAGCCCTTCCAGAATACCATAACCTCCCTTGTTGATATTTTTGGCTCTAAGTTTCCTTAGTTGCATTTCTGATACCTTCCAACTGTTTGCAGCATGCTTGTATTCTTCAGCCTCCTCACACCCTTCCTTGATGCTGTGGTATCTCCCAACCGAAGAGGGGAATTAGAAGATACACAGGTTGGGGTTGAGAATCCAGTCTGAAAATAAGCAATGCTTGTTTTTTCCTTTGTTCATTATCCACAAAAAGGCTCTTGTTTGGATTAAATCAAACATCCTTGCAGTATCGACCTCCTCCTTTTGAAACAATTTTCTATTTCTGGTCAGCCAAACTGTCCAAGTCGCTGAGAACCAAATGGCTTCCCACCCCTTTTTCCTTTTTGTGTGAGGTGGAGATTCTGCATGCTTCACGAATGCCTCCCAGCAATTTTCAGAGTTTGTTTTTTGTAAGTTCCACCATTTGAAGCACTTGTTCCAGATTTCATCAACTATTCTGCACTTCAGGAAGAGATGATCTCTATCTTCAACTTGTTCATTACAAAAACAACAGATTAATTCATGGGTTTGTGAGATTACTCCCCTCTTGAATAAGTTTGCCTTAGTAGGAATTTTGTTGAGAAGGAGTTGCCAAACAAACCCGCAAATCTTTATTGGGATATAGCTGTTCCACACTCTACTAAATTCATGTCTGTGATTGCTGTTTTGAAGGGAAGCTAGATGTTGGTATCCCGATTTTGCTATGTAGGCTCCATCCTTGGTGTGTATCCAATCTCAGTTGTCTTTAACTCCTTGTTGTAGTTTGACAGAGTCCAGGCTTTGTAGCATTTGGTCCTTTGCTGCTACTTCCCATTCACGTAATTCTCGTTTCTAGTTCAGGTTCCATTCCCACTGTCCTTCATGCCATTCTCCCATTTGCTTTACTTTGTTGTCCATTCCTGTAGAGATCAAATAAAGTCTTGGGTATTTTTTAGCTAGGATTCCCTCCTCACTCCACCTATCTTTCCAAAAACTCACAGCACCTCCATCCCCAATTCTAGTTTCAAATCCACGAGAGAGCCACCCTTGGTTGCTGACTTCTAAGTTGTCTACCTTGCATAAATCTTTCCACCAATTTGAGCCATACCCTCTACCCTCCCTAACCCACTCGTACCAGTTTTCACTCTCTTTCCCATATTTTTCTTTAATTATTTTATACCAAAGAGAGTCCTCACCCTTTGCTAATTTATCCTACCATTTGCCAAGTAATGAGAGGTTGAAATCCCTCATGTTCTTGACCCCTAATCCACCCTCCAGCCTACCTTTACATACCCTTTCCCATTTAACCCAGTGGACTTTCTTAGACTCTTCACACCCTCCCCACAGAAATTTTTTTCTAATTTTATCAATAGTCTTGATAATACCTTTGGGAGCCAAGTAGACAGATAGGAGAAACACTGGCAAGGACGAGAGCATAGAGTTAAGCAAAGTGATTCTGCCACCAAGAGAGAGCCGCTAACCTTTCCAAGTAGTCAATTTCTTTGAGAAGGTATCAATCAAGGGTTTCCACAATTCCATTCTTCTATGATTACCTCCAACAGGGACCCCCAGGTATTTGAATGGCATACACCCGATCTTGCAGTTCAAGAGGCCGGCCATTTTGTCCATCCAGTCTTCTTCTATGTTAACCCCCATGAGTTGGCTTTTTGAATAGTTTATCTTCAGTCCAATTGCTAGCTCAAATGTCCTCATTATACACTTTGCTGCCCAAACATTGTTTTCCGATGCTTTTCTGAAGATCAAAGCGTCATCTGCGAATTGGATATGTGAACAATGGACACCATTTTGTGCTACTTCCACACCCTCAAACAGACTTAGTTCAGTTGCCTTTGTGATGATTCCATTTAGTCCCTCTGCTATTATCAAAAACAAAAATGGTGAAAGGGGGTCGCCTTGTCTCAAGCCTTTACTGACCTTGAATTGCCTTGTGGGGCTACCATTGACTAGGATCGATATCATGCTGGTTTGCAAGCATTCCCTGATCCATCCTCTCCAAATATCTCCAAATCCCATTCTCATGAGCATGTAGTCCAAGAAGCGCCAGCTGACTTTATCAAATGCCTTCTTGAAATCTATTTTGAACAAGAAACACTCTCTCTTCCGCTTTTTGGCATCATCTATAATTTCATTGGCAATTATTATTCCTTCACTTAATTGCCTACCTTCAATGAAGGCCATTTGTTGTTTCTCGATGACATAAGGAATCACCAAGCTGAGTCAATTCGCGAGAAGCTTTGCAATGATTTTGTACATGGCTCCTATTAATGAGATTGGTCTATACTCTTCAATTTTCTGTGGATTGCATACCTTCGGAATGAGGGTAATGAATGAGGCATTTGACCCAGCTACTAATCTCCCATTTTTGTGAAATTCTTGAACAAAATCGACAATATCCTTCTTAATTACTTCCCACATGCGCCTGAAAAAATGGAAATTGAATCCATCTGGTCCTGGAGCTTTAGAGCACCCACAATCCCATATTGCTTTTTTGATCTCCTCCTCAGAGAATGGAGATGTAAGTAGATTGGCTTAGGCAGTTGAGATTTGCTTAAAGTTGATGCCATTTAAAACGGGTCGTGCCCAATCCTCTTCTCTGTATAGCTCTTCGAAGTACTTGGCTATCCCTTCCTTAATTCCCTGCACACTGTTCTGCTGGCAGCCATTTATTTCAATGCAGTTGATCTCCTATTTCCTCTGTCTGTTTCTTATGCATCTGTGGAAAAATTGGGTGTTTGCATCTCCATTTCTGAGCCATTCTTTTCTTGCCTTTTGTCTACTCATACCTTCTTTAATCTTAAAGCCATCCCATAGATCATAAAATAGTTGTTTTCGTGTGGTTATCTCCAGGTCTGTCAATTGTGTTTGTTCTGCTCTTTTGTCCAGTTCTTTGATGCCCTCTTTTGCCTCCTTGATTTTGAGTTCTACTAGATTAAATTCCTTGCAACTCCATTCTTTGATTCTATTTTTTTTTGCCTTTAGTTTCTCTTTCAAACAATAGCCCTTCCAGCCTTCTGGCTTTGTTGACTTCCAAACCTCCGATACAACCTTAGTAAAATCTGGATGGTTTACCCAATCGTTGAAAAGCTTGAAAGGTTTAGGTCCCCAATCAGGTTTTTGCTCCTTTAAGATGATAGGACAATGGTCTGAGACTGTTCTCATAAGTCCCCACTGTTTTACCTCACTCCAATTTTCCAGCCATCCTTCAGATAATGGGAATCTGTCAAGCCTGCTCATAGATTTTCCACTGGGATGGTACCATGTGTATTTCCTCCCTATTAAGGGTAAATCTACCAGCTCTGTCTCTCTTACAAAATTATCAAAATCCCTCATTCCTCTGGAAGCGCCATTTGCTCCAGCTCTTTCATTGAGTTTCCTAATGCAGTTAAAGTCGCCCATTAAGCACCAATTTCCACTTCTGCCACAGATTAGTGCTTTTAATTCATCCCACATGCATCTTCTAACAACAACATCGCATGGAGCATACACATTTATTAGATATACAGGCAGCATTTTCTCACCCCAATTTCCAGAAACGCGAACAAAATTTTCCCCTTTTATCCGACTACAATTCTTCAATAATTTATTGGCCCAGATGCATAGCAAGCCTCTAGAATTACCATTTGATGCTTTCATACAAAAATCAAAATCGTCCGAGCCCCATAATTGTTTGCATGTGGCTCGATCTACAACCTCCATTTTTGATTCCTGAATTGCTAAGAACTTAACTCTCTCTTTCCTTACCACTTCTCGAACCTCTTTCTTCTTACCCATTCCCCCCAGCCCTCTTACATTAAAAGAAAGTAAAACCATGGGCACTTTCTACTGACCTTCAGCTTGCTGGCTCGTCTTCTTTCTTTTAGTTTTTCCTTTGCCTCTTTATCTCTGGATTCCATGTTTGTGATCTGTTGTATGATTTCCTCCTCATTTTCGAGAGCCTCCATCCCGACTTGTTGAGCAAACTGCCAAATTTCAGAGATTAAATTCCATCTCGAGTTGCTTCTGTTGCAATTGGCAATGGCACTATCCGAGATAGATTCTCCTGCTATTGGTTTCTTCGGATTTGGGAGAAAACTTGGTAACCCTTTTTTTCAGAGATTCTTCGATTTGAGCTTGCCGGCCTGCTTCTTGATCCCATCTTCTGCAAGCATTGGGGATGACTTGTAGATTGACAAACAAGATATGCTTTTCTTCTTTTGATTCCTTCTTTTTCGTGTGCTTTGTCGAAGGTTTCTTCCCATCCAGTTTTTGATAGAGCCAGACTCGCTCTCAAACCCCTGCCAAAAAGACATTTCACAGAGTTTCCCATCTGTAGATTCCTTTTCTGGGTTTGTTGTTTGTAATTCTGTTTGACCATCAGGGCTTATGTTGAGAGGCCCCTCATCCACTATCACCTTTTCTTTTTTACCACTATGGGTTTGGATTTGGTCTGTCTTGGGCTTTCCTTCATTTTCTTGTTGTTGGGTTTCGCCTTGGCCCAAAACTTCAAAGCTATTTTTTGTGGGGCAAGACGCTCCTGGTTCACTTTCTCGAGTTGCATTGTTCACCATCTCATCACATTTATTATTTTCCGGCGCCTGCTATGAGTCTGCAATCTCTCCTTTTGACTCCTCGATCACATTCGGATCTTGGGAACCTTTTGTCTCCAAAGTGGTTTTGTTTTCCACTATTATGTCCTTTGTCAGTCGACCGCCCTTTTTTTCTTCTTTCTCCAACGTCTTTTTAGTATTTTGAATCCTGCTCATGGCCACATCATCTTCATCTCCTACCTCTCCGTCTATGTTGCACCGGAGCCTCATATTATCATCTGAAAATTCCACCTCAAACGGACTGTTTGAAGTCCAGTGTTCCAGATCGTCCTCCTCGGAGCATGAAGGGGATGATGGTTTGTGATCTGATTTGAGGTTGAAGTGGCCGTTTGAAAACTCCTCTTCTTTGCAACGAATGCAGAACGGTTCACCATTTACCTTGATATGTAGAACTTTTGAAATGGAGCCCATATCTGTGGTGGAGATGAGCACTCTTGCAACATCTAATCTCTTTTTTAAACTGGTGCTTTCGTCCAAAGAGATGAATATGCCCCATAAGGTTGCTATGGTGTTGAAAAAGTTTGGGCCCCATGCATGGAGAGGGATGCCACTCACCTTTGGGCATACAAATCTCTCGCTGGCTACCCTATTTGGAGTCCAGGGGCGAATGTCATCGAACCATTGTTTGAGCCAATCTACTGTTGATTCCATCAAATCCTTGAGGTCATCTTTATCATCTCCATCCAGCAAAACAAGTTTGCCCCCCATTGCTCTTAGCTTCACAGAGAATAGTCCCTCCATGTAAAATCTTTCTTGAATGATTGGAACTATTTCCACAGATCTTGCTGTTCCTACATAGGTTCCTTCTAGCCACTCCCAGTCCTCCTTCCCTGGGTTGAAATCGATCCCTGTCCACCCAGTGATGTTTCCTTTGGCTTTCCAAATCTGTTTGGCTTGTCCATTGTCACTTGGGTTTTGTTGCTTACAATCTCAGCCCTGGTTCCTCACCACATCTGCATAGCTTCTCTTCTTCTCGCTTGCTATCTTCGACTGAATGATTGGTTTTCGGGTGCTCTTCTTTGCCTCTGAGAAACGTGGGCAATTAACCCTGAGCTTGTGATCACCGATTCTAATTTGATCTAGCTGTTTCTCTAGCATGTTGACATTCTTCACTTCAAGGAACCTAACAAAGCCAAATCTCTTTCCTTCTTTGTTTGTCCTCCTTGGGCTGTATATTGCATACACTCTACCATACTTCAAGAAGGTTCTCCACATCTGTTCGTAAGACCAATCCCCAATGAAGAGAGATTGTTGAAGGCATTGGCAAGCGTGGCCATTGAGGCTTCAGCGTGAGACTTTCAATTTTACTGCTGCGGGGTAAGTGAACGAA